TAAAGAAAGATGCTGTACTTGTTTCAATTAAAATTAAAAAACATTTATTTATTTATTTTAAAAAAGGACCCTACAGTCTTTCTTAATTTCAATGCAAAATGTAGCTTAAATTGGGGTTGAGGGGAATAGGATGCAAAGAGAAGTTTGAGAAGGAAAAATTGACACCAACATCAGCTTTTTAAAAACAAACAAACAAACACACACACACACACACACCTTATCCTGCTTAACAATAAATTACGGTATTTCAGGCTAATTGAATGCTCTTCCAATCAGTCTCCTCCAACCACCATTCTTTGAAAACAAACAAGAATTCTTTGAAAGAATCAGGAATTAGATTCTAATATTCCGATCTCAATGTGGTGCGATGTTATTATTATTTGGGTAGCACATTCAGTTATGTAATTTTCTTCCCACCCATATGATGTTAAATTCATACATACATACATTTACAGATATATTCAGTTTTGAACTGAAGTAACAGCTGAGAGATATTTTCAAAACTCTAATGCATTACCCAAATACTTTGTCTATAATATATTTTCAAATGATAATGTAACCTGCACTTTTGAATTCTCATTCAGGATTCCAAACAGCTTCACAACTATATGTGATATCTGATTGATTTCTCAAGGTTTTTTCCCTACACCTAAATATAGCATTTCTTCATCATTGTACACATGTTAAGTCTTCAAAATATGTTTGGATTGCAATACAGATTTGATTACACAATAATTCCTTCTTGGAAAATTATATACAGAATATGTTACAATTGCAAAATTATGTTCGGATGCCAGGGATCTAGAAAAAGTATCACATGTGCAACCGATGAAGTTATCAACTATAGTGAAATAGAAACAAAAAGAAACTTCTGCAGCAAAGGAAGATACCAACTGTCAGTTCTTCAAAATAGATCAGGAAACAGAAGCCACAATACTGCTTTTCTGTCTTTTTGTGTTCTTTCAACTGTTACCTAGCTTATCCAAGATCATTCTCTTCGCTTTCCATACTGACTATCTGCTCATACCACTAGCAATATTATTAGCAGACTCAACAACTTCTCACTGTCCTACAAAGCATATCATCTATTCTGATAGATGCCATCATCTGACATTCACATTGCTAATCTCTCCAATGTCTACTAAAAAGACTAATGAATCCCAATAACTAATAACCTGAAAGATTTTAACTTCCAGGGAGATCTATTTCACTCTAAAGAAACTACAAATTCCAATTAAATCAAGAAAGTAAAACTGAAATTTGTTAAAAGATTCAACATTATATTCTGCAGGTTAAGTACCGAAAATAAATAAAAAATAAATTGCTTTCTTAAGATTATGGTCGATTTAAAAAGAATGCAAACTGTCCAAACAGAAGAATGCAACCTAATTAGTACAATAGATAGTGGATAATTAATGTATCTATTGTGAGGATGTGGACTGTTGAAAAATGAAGCTGGCTACATATTAACAGCATGTTAGTACCCACTTTATTATCTGAAATTAAGAATTTGGTATGTGATGAGAAACAAAATTAAATTGACTATAATGGAAATGCTATAATTAAGAAGCTATTTGGCTTATTGAAATTAGTTCAATAAATAATCAGTGCTGTGTGACTATAACTGAATACAAGGGAGTGATCAATTTAAAGAAGTATGTTGACATGGTTTAATCATATATGAGAAATTAATGTGCATTGATTCACAAACAATGATGGAAGAGTCAATATGTAATGAACAAGTGAAAGACTGGGTAAATTGTATCGGACGTTGGCGATCATGTTGGCAATCCTATTTTTTGCCAACAGCCACATGAAAAAGTGCTGCTGAATTTTGTCCAAACCAATCCCCTTAGATTTTGAAGTTGTGATCTTCTTCTTCTGCCTGGACCTTGTTTGCCTTCAGTTTTTCCCTGGAGGATTAAGTGAAGTATGCCTTATTTTTCTGGATGTCACATCACATGTCCAAAATATTCTAACATTTGCTTTTTAATGGCTTTAATGATTTCCCTTTGCTTCTCCGGGCACCTTATCATCTCCTCATTTGTGATTTTGTCAACCCAGCTTATATGTAACAGCCATTTGTAAATCCACATTTCAAATGCTTCTAGTTTCTTCAAGTGGTTTTCTGTGAGATACCAACTCTCTACTCTGTAGAGCAGGATAGAAAAGAAGTAACCTTTGACAACCTGATTTCAGTCTTAGGCTTACATTGTGACTGTAGAAGACCTCTTTCATTTTGAAGAATGCTATTCGAGCTTTCTCTATCCTTGTCTTTACTTCACTGATCATATCCCAGCTTTCATGTAAATTAAAACTGAGGTGTGTGATCCTTTCAACTTTTTCTAGTGGTATTCCTTCTGAATTTATCAATGGTAAATTAATGGGTTGTTTGCTGATGACCATGATCTTAGTTTTTGAGGTGTTAAGCTTCAAGCCATATTTTTCAGAAATTTCTGAAACTCTGTTGATGAGGAGCTGAAGGTTTTCATGCTTACTGGCAAGCAGAACTATATAATCAGCATATCTTAGATTGTTGATCTGAACACCATTTATTTTGAGGCCTGCATCAATGCTTCATTGAAAATTGACTCAGAGTAGATATTAAACAACAGCAGAGACAGAATACAGCCCTCTGACCCCTCTTCGAAAAAGCTGAGTATTTTTGGCCTAGTCTCACATTTGCTACCTGATGCCAATATAGATTCTTTATGATTCGGATGTCTTAATCCCATTTGTTTCAGGATTTGTGATAGTTTGCTGTGTCTTATTTTATCAAATGCTTTTTCAAAATCAATGAAGCACGCGTGATTGACCTCAACTGTGATTGACATCTCTCCAGTGCTGCACAAGAACTTGAATACTGAATAGGGCATCTTGTGTACTAAGATTGTTTCTGAAACCAAATTATGTGTTATTTAGATACTTAATGAGTCAGGGCATGACTCATTAAGTTTATTGTTCTTTATTTGGTACACTTGGGGATTGATTCAAATGTTGACTTTAGCTAATCATTTGGTATCTTTCCTGTTTCATATATTCAGTTGAAGAGCTGCAGTAAAAACTTCTTCCCGTTGTCTTCCAACAATTTTAAAATTTCTACTGGGATATCTTCAGATCCTGTGGCTTTTCTTGTTTCTACTATTTTTATTGCATGTTCAATCTCCTTCAGAGTGATGCTTGGTCCAGTTGTTATACTTCCCATATCGATATTATCCCTAGTGTCTCAAAAAGTTCTTCAATATATTCCTTCCATCTTTTTAATTTTTCATCCTCATCCAAGATTTCCCCTCCTTGTCAACTAAGTTGTTGGCTTTATTTTTGTAGACACCTGCTTCTTCTTTCACTTTTTTCTGTAAGTTGAAATTATGACTACATTCTATCTCTTCTATTTCTTTGCATCTCTTTGCAAACCACTTTTCTTTTGCAAGTCAAAAT